ATTTCGAACAAAATCTTCATTAAAAAGTTTATAAATAAAATAATTAAAATAATAAATTAAATATATTTTTTTCTTTTTTCGTGATTTCCTGCGAAACAAAGCAAAAAGGAGCATATGTCTATAGGACTTTTTTTCTTAGTTTTTTACTCCTCTACACGCTCCCGAAGTTTTGCCATTTAATTTGGAAACACCCTGTATATATATAGGTAAAATGACATTTGCACGAAACACACGTTTCGAAATTGCATTTCCCTTAACTCGTTACTCGTTGAAGTAACGCTCATGACTCTCTTTGGCGAAGTTACAGAAAACGACGGGAAAACTTTACACGACAGAAATGTACGACGGACATCCAAGAATTTCCACGACAACGTTTCCAATAATATGTTTCAACTATCGCGTAGAATGCATCAGTTTAAATTACAAAAGCATTATCTCGTTGCATGAAAATTGCACCGAAATGGCTGTTCGTACTTCATAAACGTTTAAAAAACTTCAGCCGTAGTATCGCGTGGATGCAACCGGAATTTACCGCAATGTTTCACGGGGCATCGACAATGCAGAGATGAATGAGAACGTTTCCGCTGCGCTCTCATTTTACATGCTCGTTAGCATCAGTCTCAAATAACAAGCCCGTAAGACAAACATCCTGTGATGACCGCTCGCGTATCAGGATACGAAGCATCTAACAGTAAGTCCCGTAACGTATAGGCGACATAAATGTATCATGAATATTTCAAGTCCTGTAAGTGTCTGTCATCACGGAGGCAAGAGCTGTTTCGAATTCAGCTGAAGCAACGACGAAGTATATATCCTTCCTCTCTTCTCTTCATCCGACAATGAGATCAATGAAGCTGTCTGAAGCTCTCTTCGATCGCGATTGCGTGGACATCGCAGAGGAACAACTCATGAATAGATATTCAGTCCGATAAATTATCGGTTCAATAAAAATCGAGCCTGGAATCGTACTACTGCGCTATAAAAAACAATAAAATAAACCATTTTACTGAGCAAATGGTTATCTCCATTTTACCCTCTTGTCCGTGGTCTCACTTGTAATCCGTCGAGAAATAAAGCGTGTACGTGGCGCGAGTGGCAAAAGACAAATGTGGACGCGTGACTCTTGTAACTTCACTTGTTCGTCGTGTAAACCA